AGTACTTCTGCCAAAATCTAAGAGTTCAATGTTCAAACTGTTTCTCACCTTATCGCGAGCATTCGTTCACTAAGCCTCCGCCCTTCACCACGATAGCTGTGGCGATCACAATGGAGTTGTAAGGTGTGCAAGAAAGCAAAGCAAACATTGGCACTTGTAGGCGTTTTTGATCGCTGTATAAAAATAGACATTCATCAGTGTCCCAATGACCCAATTTTACCACTTGTAGAAATGCCCCAAAAAATAATCATAACCTCACTAGCGCTCAACCAACCCTAGCAGTTCCGATGGCGTGTTCGGAGCAAATCGAAAGCCCACACAACACGAAGAGTGCACTCACCAAGCTTTCACCATATATCCGCAGTCACATGCACTATAGTAGTTAGTAGAAAATGAGACTTACCATAGCATCTCCTGACGTGAGGAGATACACGTAGCGCTGCTACTGAGAGCTCGCAATACGGTATGTATGGCAGAAGGTCATTTGTCACTGACGGACACTCATCTCGGCTGTTCATCCTAGGATTTCTGACTGAAATCCAAAACGCCTCTAACGCCTTCCTTGCCGAAATTTCCGTCTCCTGCGCCAATATCGTACACTTGGTTTCAAAGTTGTTGCCGTCACTTTCCTCAGATTTATGCCTGCCAAGCGCTGTCGTGAGCCTATCACGTCTCATACCAGCTAGGTGCTCGTTTATTCGTATACCTAGCGGCCTTCCAGTCTCTCCGATATATGTGCGTCCACACGCCAGACATTCTATTTGGTAGATCACACCCTGTTTGCTTCATGGGCAGGATTGAAGGACCAGTGCTATCAGGTCATCCAATAAGGTAATGCAGATACATCGATGTCTGTTTCCTCATAAGTCATTACAGTCCGAAATGGACGAGTTTTTCCGGATGATGAATGAGCAGTCGCGTACATTAGACTCACACGACTGGAAGGCCGCTAGGTATACGAATAAATGAGCACCTAGCTGGTACGACACGTGATAGGCTCACGACAGCGCAGACATAAATCTGAGGAGAATGATGGCAACAACTTTGAAACCAAGTGTACGATACTGGCGCAGGAGACAATTCGGCAAGGAAAGCATCAGAGGCGTTTTGGATTCAGTCAGAAATCCTAGGATGAACAGCCGAGAAGAGTGTCCGTCAGTGACAAATGACCTTCTGCCAGACATACCAGTATTGCAAGCTCTCAGTAGCAGCGCTACGTGTATCTCCTCACGTCAGGAGATGCTATGGTAAGTCTCATTTTCTACTAACTACTAGCCGCATGTGATTGCGGATATATGGTGAAAGCTTGGTGAGAGCACTCTTTATGTTGTGTGGGTGGGGCTTTCGATTTGTTCCAAACACGCCATCGGAACTGCAAGGGATGGTTGAGCGCTTAGTAAGGTAGTGTTCATTTCCTTACTTCGAGACACGTTTAGGCCTCTGGAAGATGACCACGTCAAAACGTTAGGCCGTATAATAAAGATTTCCACCTAAAAAACTCGAGTGGCATAGCAATATAACAGAATAAAAAACAGAACTGCCCTGTGATTGTTGCTTACTGAAGGAAGGAACCACGGAAAAGCGCCCGCAATAAGACGAATCCTCTTTTTTTTTTTTTCCCAGGATTTTTGGGGGATCAGATATCACCCAGAGTCGCAGCGTAAGGTGGTCAAGACCAATTGTCCATTGCAAAAGGCGGCGAGACACTGATAGGAGACGAGAGAGGCCAGAAAATGACGGGCAAGAGGGCGCAATGGCATGTCACAACGACACGGGTCATCTTGAGAGTTGGCATGGGCTCTATTGGGCGCAATGAGGCCTCCAAACATGAGACGCCGTGCGTTCTACTGCGTGTTACGGACTTTAAAAGCAGCACATTCCTCTATGTTTGCCCTGACTTTGATCATCATGCACGTTTATGAGGTCCCAGCCTTAGTTTATCGCGGAACGTGCCTTTAATGCAAAGAGTGGACTTCCGAGCGAACTCCAGAATGACACCCTGACAGCAACCGAAACTCGATCAAGGCGCGAACTCAAGGTCAGAGACGGTGACGCATTAGTTTACTATGAGCTGCGTCACGTAGCTGAAGATAGGAGTCGACCCATTTCGTAGAATTTTAGAGGTATGCTATTTCACGACCGCCTTTGCACAGAACGCGAAAGTTACGAGCAAGTTTGTACGGCCCAGGCTTTGTACAAAACATACTGCATTTCCAACCAGCTTGCATGACAGAAAATAATGCGGAGAATTTCGGGCGAACGCGAGATCGTCATCTTTCGAGGATAACGCGAGTCATACATAAGATCTAGCACGAATTGGCCACAGCATTAGATACTAGAAACTCTCCCTCTGAGTAAGTGCCAAGCGTTTGCTGGCTACTCAAACTGCAACGAAAACTCGCCCGTCGCGGAAAATCAAAAAATGACGCGGAGAATATTCAGCGAACGAGTTTTTCACCTTTCAAAGGCCGTCACTCCGCTACGACATGATGGAGAAGAGTGAGAGATCTACCAAGCATTGAAAATGAGATAGCTTCTTCTGAGCAAAACAGCTTAGCTATAGCTTGACTCCAGCAAAAATTCGCCCGTCGCGAGTTTCCAGTTGAAAGTCGTTTTCAGCTGTTGCATGAGAATTCCTCTCTACGGAGCCTTCTATTCTGTTCAAAAGCACGTCAGGCTGCTCTACTTCTCCCCCTAATGTAATGTATGCAGTACAGAGAAGCTGATCAACATCTCCATAGGATACGCCATTTACTCAACTTCCTTTCCGACCACCCATCCTGCAAGCTACGCCGTTGTTGTGTTACTTACTGGTCACTGCAGATACAACGCCCTTCTCAGAAGGAGGAGGCCGACCAGGACCCTGTGCCGCGGATACCGCGACATGTGCCTAACCCTGCAGTGCACTTATCCACTGTCACTTTGGAAGCTTCTGCTAAGGCAATGATGTGTGTACCCGACAGAATACACACACATCACACACACGCACCACACACCACACATACACTGCGATATATATACAGCTAGCTCCTATCTGTGCCTGCGTTCGTGCGCGAGTGCGTGCATGCATGCGTGCACGGGTACTTTTTACGGTTCCGTGAGATTTCCTTTACTTCCCTTTTTGCTCATTTCTACTTTTGACATTCGATGATCAATGGTATGAAACGACCATGTTCAAAGGGGAAGACCGGAGAAATCCACAATATAGCCCAAAACTCCTAGCTATGCAACCATGTATGATGATTTATTTTTTGCAAGCTGATTAGCCTTTTCCATGATTCACGAATATCAGGCATATAAGAAGTCTCTGGAGGTACACGGAAGAGAGAAGCGTATCAGAGGACTCGAAAAGTACAACAACGAGCAGATGTTTTTCATTGGATTTGCTACGGTAATTCATATTGGTAAGACCTTGGTTAGATGTTTCACAGCGTTCCGGTTTCAGATGTATTGCGGCCATTACACGCAATTGGGACTCGTAGATAGTATTCTCACCGATGATCACTCTCCAAATCGATATAGGTGAGCATGGATATTATAGAGCCATTACGGGCTATCAGGAAAGTATCCCTGGATAAAGTAGCCTTCTGCCAGGGTGCACCTTCTACAATGCCCCACACACTGCCGAGACTGCCTCAAAAAATTTGCAGACCGATTCCCTCAACAGACTTGAAGGATGAGATCTGAATTGGAAAGGGTCATGCAAGTAGATATCATATCAGCTTTCCTGACATGACACAAGGAGCACTAATTGTGGTTGTAAGATTACTAGCTTCCCAGCTTTCCCCTTTGACATCACAAAGTCAGATTTTCTGGCGTGCTCCTCCGTTGTTTTTTTTTGTGCGAGAGCCCAACATTGCCATCGATGAAGGTAGGAAAACTCATGCAAACCTATTCTGCAAGAAATGGAAAGCAATCACTCTGAGAGATATGGCGTAGGGATCACGAAAGTTGAACGGTACTCCTTTGCTCTCCATTTATTGAACGGTACTCCTTTGTTCTCCATTTATGAGCAATTTTCTTTTGAAAGTTAGCAGGCGAGTCTGTGCATTATAAGCCACCATGGAGTGAATGTGCGAGGCACTCCCGTTGTGGGCGGAGCCTGCCCGAGGTGGGTGGAGCCAAATTTCAAAAAATTCGCAAAACGGTTCCAGAGCACTCCAGACACTGGGAAAAGGTAGTTTAAGATCAGCGGGGTTATTAGTTGAGAAGCATACGTTGTGGGCGGAGCGTGCGTTGAGGAGAGCGGGGCCAGTGTTAGAAATTCCTCAAGCGGTTCCAGAGCACTCCAGGCACTCCAGACCTCCTCTGTGATACAGCCCGGCCTTGCGGGGCGTGGCTCCGTCGCGCCTACT